CCAAGCAGGCCGCGCTTGGGCCGCCGGGCCCGAGGCCGGAGCCATGGGCGAGACCAAGATCATTTACCACCTGGACGGGCAGGAGACGCCGTACCTGGTGAAGCTGCCCCTGCCCGCCGAGCGCGTCACCCTGGCGGACTTTAAGGGCGTTCTGCAGCGACCCAGTTACAAGTTCTTCTTCAAGTCTATGGACGATGATTTCGGGTGAGGTTGGCCCCCACCCCGCCTCCGCGGACCCTGGCCCCTGGTCCCTCTGGCGCCCGGGGCCGACTCGGCCCGCTAAAGGCCCCCGTTGGCTTTTGGGGGAGCTGGGATTCCAGCCGCTTGAGGGACCGCCCCGTTCTCCTCTTGTGGGGATATTGGCCCCTTTTGGCACCTTAGTTTAGCGGGATGTCCAGCTCCCCAAAGCATTCAGTTGCAGTCTAGTCCGCCCCCATACCTCCTCAGACCAGCGGCCCACATAGAGGGACACACACACCCTCTCCACCCAGTGCCCAGGTGGAGTTTACAGTCCTCCCACTGCCAAGGGAGCCACCTCTTCAGCATAGACTTGGGGTGTTTGGCACTCAGCCTACCTCTTCTCCATCTTTTCAGCTCCACAACTCAAAGCCATATTTGGAGTATCCCGCATCTGCCAGTTATGCTGAGGGACTTTGAACTGGGGGGAGGAGGGGAGGTGCTCAGACCCAGGCTGAATGCTGAGGCCTGCAGACCTGATGTTTATTTAGATGTCTTCCCTCTCCCTTGTGGGGTGTTTGGGATGCTGTCAAGGGAGCGGAGCGCCTGACTCCTGAGGAGGAGTCCAAAGTAACCAGGTGCTTTTCTACCCTCAGAATTGAGGCCTTTTGCCTCCAGGTGTTAGCCAAGCCTTTGGGAAGGGCCTCAGAGCCCCAGAGCCAGAAAAAGTCCCTTGGTATTCTCCATTTTCTCCTCCCTGGTGGGGTCTTCCCCTCCAACCAGCTGCAGGGCTTTGGACAGGAGGAGTTTGGAAGCAGCGACTTCCCCTTTAAGAAAGGATGGAATGTTGGAGCCGGAAGGTTCTGTAGCAGCTGGCTTGGGAAGGGGAGACTGGCCCATCCCCTCACCAGCCCCCAACTCCCAGGGGACTGGGGGAGGGGGAGGCCCCCACACCAGCCTGCGTGGAGGAGCTGGGCACTAGGTCAGGGGAGATCTCATGGGGTTCTTTAGGCCTGAAGGCACCTCTCCAGCCCTAGCCTGAGGCCTGGACTACTCTTTGGAGCTGAGTGAGGGGAGACATTCTTCTGCTCAGTGTTCATCAATCTGGCTTCTCTCCCAGGGCCCAGGCCCTCCTGACCTCAAAAAGCAAGCACCTCTGTCTTCTGCTTGGCATATTTTGCTGTCACTTTCCACCCTGGAATTCAGGGTTTGATGAGTCCTTGAGATTGTGTATATGTGAAAGTGCTTTGTACAGTGGGAAGTGTTTTGTAGATTCTAACTAGGTTCTGTTGTTGTTCTACCCTGGGGTAGCATACTCCTGGGTGTGGTGATGGTTGGCTTCAGTCCAAAGAGTGAAATCTCTGATTGGGAGATTCTGAAGAGGGATTGATCTGGAAGAGGTGAGGGTAAGGGGGTAGATGGTTTGGCCTCCTTGGAAAAGAATAGGGTTAGAAAACACCAAGATACTGCCTCAGGGTATAGAATGTGGGAAAATAGTTGTAGCCCAGTGGGCTGGTGCTAAATGTTATGAGGGGCTAGGATAGACCTATGTTCCTAGCCCCTACTCAACTCTGGGCCCATGGGGGTCTAGCCCCACCTCCTAAGCCCAGACCACTCTGGGCTGCCTGCCACTCTCCTAAGGTTACTATGTAGCAAGGCCTAATTGCAGCTGTATGAGGACCCTCATTACATTTGCTTACTGTTTACTTAATATTTTCCTTTAAATCCATTATCAGTTGACTCACTTTTTTTCTTAGCTTGACTCCACCAATAGTATGAAATCATGAGTCTGATTTTCTGCTTATATTTTTTTTCTAAAATGTGTTAAATAAATATGCAACTATTGAACTAAGCAGTGTTGTTCATTCAGGTGCCACTTAAAGCTATCTTGCATACATTAGTGGTACTCACACCACTCTCTTTGAAATATCAGAGTGGGTCACTTTAGCAGGGCTGAGATCAACGATAAAAATGGAGTGGAGAAGATTGATTTTGTTTTCCCCTTAGAAAGCTAAATGAGCAGAAGGCATGGTGGCGCTATCTTGTCACAGAAGGCAAGACTAAATACACTGCCCTAAATGCTTTTTGATTCTTCACTCATTTTATCTTCATATATCACTACTAACTAGGGTACAGAAAAGTAAAGTAACTTGTCCAGTGTTACACTGCTAGTAAGTAGCAGCAGAGGTTGATTAGATGTCAGGCATTTGGCTCCAAAATCTGTGGCCTTAACCACACAACTCTAGGTATTATTACTAACCCCACTTTACAGATCCATCATCTCCAAGGGAGATGTTAAGCCCTGGCAAACTAGAGGTGGTAGGGCTGGCACTTACCTGAGTTTCATGAGAGGAAGGTGGGGCTGCAAGTGACCCCTAATGACAGATGGAGGTGAGTCAGTGGAATAAGGCTGCTTTCTCCAGTCTCAATGTGTCAGCAAGGTTCACCCTCTGAGGCCCCTCTGTATGAAGCCTCAGGACTCCTCAACTCCCATCTGGTCTCCAGAAGTATTTGTCAAGCTTAGGGTAGGCCCAACCTTCTTAAATTATTTGGAAAATGGTAGACAGATAAACACTTAATTCAGCACTGAGGAGATAGATTGAAGGACAAGGTACCTACTGTGAGTCTGGCCTTGAGCTATGGGAAAAGGCAACATGGAAAGTCAGATCACTAACTCTGTTGCTCCCTCCACCATGTCATACACTGTCCTGCCTCTGGGCCATTCTTCTTTATCTCCTCCAGGTGCAAATTTTCCTGTCCTCTTTCTTGAAATTTTCCATGAGAATTATCATGACACTTTATCCTATCTGTCCTCACACCCATACCCAGCTCTTACCAAGCACCTGACTCCTCAGTACCACTCAGCAGATGTCTGTCCAGTGAACAACTCTGCTGCTCTTACAGCTTTTCCCACTTCCCACTCACAATATACTTGCATGAATTATCCACTGAAGTGCAGCCTTATTGAGGAAAAGGCAAGCTCCAGATCTGATGCTTCTTGGGATCCATACAATGGCAGTCATAGGGCCTAAAACCCACAAGGCTCTCTGCAAAGGTTTTTTTTGATTGATTGAATGAATGATGAGCAGAAGATCTGTTTGGGCCCTACTTTTAACAGTTTGCATCTAGACAGAGAATATGGACCCTGCAAAAATGAGAAAGTTAGTAACTAGTTTTTATTTTATTCCTGGTCTGTATCATGCATTGTTGTTGTTGTTGTTGTTATGTGCCGTCGAGTCGGCCCCGACTCATAGCGACCCCTCCTTGGGTTTCCGAGGCAGTATCACTACGGAAGTAGGATTGCCCAACCTTCCTTCCGAGGAGTGGCTGGTGGTTTGAACCGCCAGCCTTCTGGTTAGCAGTCAAGTGCTTTAGCCACTGTGCTACCAGAGCTCCGTATCATGCATTAGTGAACCTTATTTACCAGGAGGAGACAAAGGCTTAGAAAGTTTAAGTAACTTCTCGAAGATGGAAGGGCTGGTAAGTGGCAGAATTAGAGTTTGAACTAAGATTTGTCAGATTCTGCTTGGTGTGTGTGTAATATGTGTGTGTGTGGGGGGGTACGTGCTATGGAACCCAGAGCCATTCAGCTCCCTGATGGGAGGGTAAGGCCTGTTTGAGGTTCCTTAAGTCTTCCAGCTGATCTTTGTGAGTCAGCAGAGCCTAGATAACCTGTTGGTGACCCTCAGAGAAGAAGCATCTGTGACATGGTGCTATGTGGTAGAGCTGGCTGAGTAAAGGGGTTGTGGAGACTCAATAACATTGCCTACCTCAAGAAGACTCTGTCCACAGCAAATCACAGCATCCCTGTCATTTGGCCACACATCCCTTTTCTTTTGTTTTGTTCGAACCCTGGTCCCCATGGACAACTTGCAAGCTTGGGGTACCCTGTGGCCAGACTGGTTTGAGCTACCTTCCTGTCTCCTCTCTTGGCCTATTCTTCATCCAGACTTTCTGTCATGGTAGGCCTGAGCAGGATGATCTGGGCTGCTTTTTTGGGGTTGCTGTGAGGTTGGAAATTGTGGAGGAGCCAGAGCTGGATGGGAGGGAGGAGGGCAGGCTCGGTCTGCAAACTTGGCTGCGAGTCCAAGAATGTGAGCATCACAAGGAGCCAAACACGTTCCCAGCTCTGAGCAGAAGCTGGTCCAAGAACAAGGGAAGACTGGGCTTCCCAGCCTCCTTCCTTGCTGGCTGCTCTCTGCTCAGAATCCCTGGCATGTGTCATTCCCTTGCCCCTTTTCATGTCTCCCAAGCTCAGTATTCCTGGGGTGTTTGGCACAGCCTAGGGGTTCTTGCACTTTACTATTCCCCTCCCTGGCCCCAAACCATAGCCTGTGTCTGACTTCTTGCCTTACTGCATGCCCTAGGCCAAACTATGTGCCCATGACTGTATCCCACTCCCTGATGCCCCTCATGACTCTCCCCTCACCCCCCATGCTCCATGCAGACACACATCACCTCTGTCATCTTACAGGAAAGAATGTAAAATACAGTGGGAAGAGTTTGGAGTCAGATAAGCCTGAGGTTGAATTCCAGCTCTGACATCTACTACTTCCATGACCTTAGATGACTTTCTAAATATTTGTTTCTTTATTCATAAAATAAGGCTCATGCATTCTACTTCATGAGGCTGATGTGAAGATTATGATATGTTGTAACTCTATGCAGATAAAATGCTATAATAGGTAAGAATTCAGGCTTTGGAGTCAGGCTGACTAGGATTCAAATTCCAGCTCTTCACTTACTAATGTTGTGACTTTAGGTGAATTATTTAAGCCCCTGAGCCTTAGTTTCCTCACCTGTACCTACCCTATAGCATTGTTCTATTAAATAATACAAGTAAGGTACTTAGCATAGTTCTTGGCCCATAATATGCTCAATAACTGAGAGCAGTTGTTACTATTAATTATCATAATGGCCTGTGGAAGATGCTCAATAAATGCCTTCTCCCCTTCCCTTCCCTAATTCCCTGAATCCCTCTTCCACACCTCTCAGAAGAATGTCAGAATTCCTGCCTGAGAAGGGAAGTGTTTTTCTCATTTCGTGTCCAGGAGAGACGCATTGAGGAGGGGTAAAGCACTCTCAAGATCTTGGGGAGAGGGTGCACTCATGGGGAACAGCAATTTGTCAGGGGTAATTTGCAGTCACCTGATGACTGAGAGGAAGCCCCAGGAAGATAATTAGCCTGGGCAGGGTTGGGGTCTTACTGGTGATGCTGAAGAGCTGTCGTGGGGCCACCCTCATCCCTGTCCCCATTTGACTAACCTTATGCTGGTGGTTCGTTTCCCAGTTTGGGGTGGAGGGGCCCCTGAGAATTGGGTTTGTGAGGGCACCTTCATTTCCACCCAGAAAGCTCTCTCTGACATCCCTCCCATACTTGCTTGCAGAGTGGTGAAGGAAGAGATCTCTGACGACAATGCCAAGCTACCCTGCTTCAATGGCCGGGTGGTATCCTGGGTAAGGACCCCCCCTCGCCATCCTTCCCTCCACCTATGTTCCTCTAGTGAGCTGGAAGAAGAAAAGGATTGCTGAGATTGTAGCTGGGTCCTGGGTGGTTTTATGGTTCAATATCTGAATCATCCTTTAGTTTTCTAACTGAACTGTTTCTTACTTACCAGATTCTATATCCTTGATGAAAAGGAGAGGAGTGGTGGGAGGGGAAAAGGTAGAGTCAGAAACACACAGTGGAGACAAAAATGCCCTGTCAAAGCCTTGTCTTAGATTTCCCCCTGGCATCTGCAGATCCTTGACTTGCACCACTGACTCTTGTTCTTCACCTCATCCCCACCCACCAACCATGTCTCCCAGCACCCCATTGGGCAGTGGATATGCTCCTCCTCATCTCAGCTGTCTCTTCTCCCTCAGTGCTCCCTGCCTCATTCTCCCCAAGTGACTCCCTCATGCCCTGCCAGAACAACTATCCCCCTTTCTACTGCCCTGTATCATACTGTCTACGCATTTTCTCCCCATCAGCTGGTATCAGCTGAGGGCTCTCACCCAGAGCCAGCTCCCTTCTGTGCTGACAACCCATCAGAGCTGCCACCACCCATGGAGCGCACTGGAGGCATTGGGGACTCCCGGCCCCCATCTTTCCAGTGAGTGTGACCTGAAGGTGGGAAGGACCCATGGGGGAGGGTCTTATCAGCTCAGCCCAGGGCTGGGGGAGGGAGCCCCCAGCCTGTCTCCTCCCCTACCAAGTCCTCTCTTCCCTGCAGCCCTCATGCTGGTGGGGGCAGCCAGGAGAACCTGGACAATGACACAGAAACAGACTCTTTGGTATCTGCCCAGAGGGAGCGGCCACGCCGGAGGGATGGTCCCGAGCACAGTGCGTCTGCCTAGAACCCACACCTTCCCCAGCCCTACAACCTCCCTACAACTTCTACTCATCTTCCTACCTCTTTGCCATATTGCCTGAGCTCTGGATATGCCTAGCCCTGTTGCAGCCCTGAGCCCACCCCTCCTTCCTTCCTTCCCTCCTGCATTGGGCACTGTGTGAACCCAGCTGCCTGCACCCCTGCAGCAACCCGGATAAATGGAACTTCAAAGGGGGAGCGGCGGCGAGAGCCAGGGGGTTATGATAGCTCGTCCACCCTTATGAGCAGCGAGTTGGAGACCACCAGCTTCTTTGACTCTGACGAGGATGACTCCACCAGCAGGTGGGGCTTTAGTTTCATGGGTACTGTGGGGTAGGTGATCCCCTGAGGAGCCCTGAACCCTGAGGATGCTGGACCCCTGGGAGGGATTGGGCTTTGTGTTGGGGACCTGGGCCCTGCAGTGCCTCTCATGGGGCAGGGCTGGGCCAGCCTGGTGGGGAACGACTGTGGGCCCCATAGGTTCAGCAGCTCCACAGAGCAGAGCAGTGCCTCACGCCTGATGAGAAGACACAAGCGGCGGCGGCGGAAGCAGAAGGTTTCACGGATTGAGCGGGTATGGGGCCTAGGATGCTAGGGATGGGTGGGAGCAGGCTGTGAACCTAGCGCAGGCAGGGTCAGGGGTTGTTCACCCCTCAGTCTCTTCCTCTTATTTCAGTGTTTAGAACCTTGGAGGGTGGGTGCTAAGGGGTCACCTTGTAGAGCTAGGTGGGAACGGTGAGTTCCTACAACCCCTACCTGCTACTCAGGGCCTCTGTCTATTCTAGTCTTCATCCTTCAGCAGTATTACGGACTCCACCATGTCACTCAACATCATCACAGTTACACTCAACATGGGTGAGTGCGTTGAAACAATACTCAACCACCTACTATATGCCACATACTGGGAAGACCCAAGGAGTTCAGTGAGAAACAAGTTATGTTGCCTGTCCTCAAGGAGCTCTCTTACAAAAACGTAGACTGATCATTTCTTTATCTCATGATCAGTGCTATGACAGATAAGCACAGAGAGCTGTGGAAGCAGAGAATGGCATCAGGGAAGGCTTCCTGGATGAAGTGGTTCCCGCATATGTTATACCACATCCACCTTCTCATCTTTCAGCCTTTGCATCCTGGTTCTCTGATTTCTGCTGTAGGTGCTCTTGTATGAGACAGTTGGGTATGGTAGAAAGAGCCCTAACTTTGGAATTTAAATCTGATTTTGAATTTTGGCTTTGCTCCTTGCTGGCTTAGAAAAGTCACTTTAATTCTCAGAGCTCAGCTGTCTGCTTTGTAAAATGGGACTAAAAGTCCCTACCTAACAACCAGCGAAGATGAAATGGAATTATATTTGAGCATGCTGAACACAGTGCCTGATTCAGGTTCAATAAGTTTCAGTTCTTGTCCCTTTCTAGCCCTTTTCTAATAAACAAAAAAACCCATTGTCAAGTTGATTCTGATTCATAGTGACCTTGTTTTCTATTAAGGGGCTGGGAATTTGGGTAGGAACCTTGCTTCCCTCACAAGGTTTTGTTACTCCTTATAGAAAAGTATAACTTCTTGGGCATCTCCATTGTGGGCCAAAGCAATGAGCGTGGTGATGGAGGCATCTACATCGGCTCTATCATGAAGGGTGGGGCTGTGGCTGCTGATGGACGCATTGAGCCAGGAGATATGCTGTTACAGGTAGCCACACTTAATGGTGGTGTTGATAGTGAGTGCCCCCACCCACCCCACCCCATACCATGTTCATTCAGAGGCTGCTTCTTGCTGGAGGAAAGACCCCCTGACCCACCAACCTCAGTTCCCCCAATCCACTGCCTATCCTGTTCTGGTCTTCTTTCCCAGGTAAATGAGATCAACTTTGAGAACATGAGTAATGACGACGCAGTCCGGGTATTACGTGAGATTGTGCACAAACCAGGGTATGAATGGAATGGGCCATTGAGGAGGAGGGGGCAGGAATTTCTGGCTATTAGGCAAGGGGATTTGGCTTCCACATATCCTGCCCTCACTAGGGACACTCTTGTTTTCAGTCCCATCACCCTGACTGTAGCCAAGTGCTGGGACCCAAGTCCACGTGGTTGCTTCACATTGCCCAGGAGTAAGTGGATGAGAGACTCGGCCCTAAAGTTAAAGTTGGTGCTTGGCATACGTGAGCCCTGTCTCTCCTTTCTTCTGTGTCACCCTGAACTCCTGTACCCACCCTGTTGGGCTCAGCAGTGAGTGAGGTAGGCAACCTGTGACTTCTCATCCTTTCTGCAGGTGAACCCATCCGGCCTATTGACCCTGCAGCCTGGGTCTCCCACACTGCAGCTATGACCGGCACCTTTCCTGCCTATGGCATGAGCCCCTCCCTGAGCACCATCACTTCCACCAGCTCCTCCATCACCAGCTCCATCCCTGACACAGAACGTAAGTGTCCAGCCCTGCCTTTGGGCCCATTGGGCCAGGTGGGAGAAACTGAAGAGGGTCCACAGAGAGAGTCTTGTTAAGATGTCAGAGGGGTCTGGGGATGGGTCTCAGCTCATTCCAGCTACCTCTTACTGCAGTTTCCTTTCAGTGGACACCTCAACCCTCACTAAGCAGTGTTTGCTTCTGAACTTACGTCAAGCATCCAGGAAGCCTCAGTTTCCTCTTGTAAAATAGACTAACGATAAGTACTTTACCAGATTCCTGTGAGGTTCAATGAGAGAGTAATAGTGAAGCACCAATCACAGTGTGTGGCATATAGCCAGCACTCAATGAACACTTTACTGTTATAACATACACATTATATACTGTACAAAGCACCTTCGTTTATATTATTTATTTCTCTCTTCAGATATCTTGTGAAGTAGATATTAAAGTCCCATTTTTACAGAAAGGAAACTGAGCGTCCAAGAAGTTAGTAATTTGCCCAGCATTAGTCCCATAATTATTAGGTGGTAGAAGTGGGATGCAAATTCCTATCTGCCTCTCCCCAAAGCTCCATTATGCTTCACTGTTCTGCCTCCCACCTCCCCAGGGCTAGATGACTTCCACCTGTCCATCCACAGTGACATGGCAGCCATTGTAAAAGCCATGGCCTCCCCTGAATCTGGTCTGGAAGTCCGCGACCGTATGTGGCTCAAGATTACCATCCCCAACGCTTTCATTGGTGAGAGTGGCCCCTTAGAAGGATGAACGACAGAGGTGGGGAGTGAGGCAGTGGGGCAGGCAGGAGCCCCAAAAACTCCCTTGAACCACTCCTTTGAGATGGAACCAGCCCTAGACTCATGGCTTCTGTGAGGCCCAATGAGCCCAGGTCAAGTGGGCCTTTCAAGTGGTAACCTTACCCCCAGGCTCAGATGTGGTGGACTGGCTGTACCACAACGTGGAAGGCTTCACTGATCGGCGGGAGGCCCGCAAGTATGCCAGCAACTTGCTGAAAGCTGGCTTCATCCGCCACACTGTCAACAAGATCACCTTCTCTGAGCAGTGCTACTACATCTTTGGCGACCTCTGTGGCAGTACGTTCATCCCCCATCTCCTTATCCTATCTCCTGTCTGGGAAGGGGGAGGTGCCTAGGAATGTGGCAGCAAATTCCAGGGAACCCACATGCAGGGGCAGTAGAGCAGGGGGGCCCAGCTCAAGGCCTGAGAATTCTACAGTGGAAGCAGAGTCCAGTCCAGCCTCTTCACCTGCCCTGTGTGTTTTCTCGGGGATGGCATTTCCTAAGTTCTTGCTCTGTGCCTGACGCCATGCTGGTTGTTTCTAAAACATCATCTTACCCAATACTTACAACCTTCTTCTCTACCGAAGGGAGGGTTTTAATAGCCCTGTTTTCAGATGAGGAAATGGAAATGTGTAGATGTTAAATAGTCCATCCCAGGTCTCACAAGTAGAAACTTAGGAGCTAGACCCAGGTCTTTCTGGCTCCAGGGCCTTTGTTCTTCCTGCTACCATGTGCTGAGTCCCCGACTCCTGTGTCTGTGGTGCCAAAGAAACATTGTCTCACTTTGGTGCCTACTCAGCCTGCCTACTCAGCCTCCTAGCACTAAGTAGGTTCCACCAGGGCAGGACCTAGGATTGGCTGAGACCCCAAGTTCACAGCCTCCTCAGACCCTTGAGGGTGGGTAGTGCTACAGGACAAAGGTAGAGAATCAGGGCCAGGTTGCAGAGGACTTTGCAACTCAAGTCAAGGAGTTTGGACTTGATTCTTAAAGAATGCAAAGCCATTGAAGGTTTATTGGGGTAGGGAGTCCTCCAAGACAAGATAGCTTTGATCACAGCTGGAAACTGAGGCACATTCCCAGTAGCCACCTCTGCTCTGAGGGAGCCTTCTCTCAGCCCCAAGGTTCTGACTGGAGTCCAATGATTAACTCTTAAAATGCTTCAGTTAGCTGCTAGGGAGTGGAATGGCTACTCCTCCCGATCACAATTCCTGGGTGGATGATGGGGTTCCTGGCTCTTGAGTTTCAACATACCCCATAGAGCAGTGATAGATACATAAAATTTGAGACTTAGACAATTCTGAATCTAACTCTACCCTTCCTGTGTGAACATGGGCAAGTGACATAGCCTCTCGGTGCCTTATTTCTTGATCTGAAAGGTGGCTGTGATAGTAGAGCTCACCTCATTCAGCTATTTTTTTTTAATTTTTATGGTGATCTGGGTGAAAGTTTACAGAGCAAATTCACTTTCCATATAGCAGCTCACATACACTTTGTCTCATGACATTGACTGCAATTTACCACAATGCAACAGCTCCCCTCCCACTTCCTCCTGATAGTTACCTCTTCCCTGTTTCCTTCCCTCCCATGCCCTCCTGCCCCCCAAGCTATCTCTCTGTGCATGCACAGCCCTTCTATTCTCCCATGATTGATCTCTCCAAGGAGTGTATCTACCTAATGTAAATGTTAGCTCATATGCCTGTCTTTTGTTTGGCTGGAAGCTACAGGAGTGGGTTCAGTTCCAGATCTGAAGGGCACTAGGGGCCATAGTCTCAGGGGTCCCACCAGCCTCTATCAGACCAGTAAGCCTGGTCCTTTTTTTTTTTTTTTCCCAATGATTTTGAGTTTTGTTCCACATTGTTCTCCCACTCTATCCAGGATCTCCTACATAGATCCTCCTTTGAGTGGTTGACCTTGGTAGCCAGGCATCATCTAGTTCTTCTGGTCTCATAGTTGTATAGGCTGCAGATCGCATGGTGTACCAGCCCCTTGGACTAATTTTTTCCATGTGTCTTTGGTTCTCTTCATTCTTCTTTGCTCTGGACGAGGAGAGACCTATCGTTGCATCTAGATGGCTGCTGCAAGCTTTTTAAGATCCTAGTCGCTACTCGGCAAAGTGGGATGTGGAACAATGGTTTTGTATAGTCTGTTATGCCAATTGAGCTTGATGCGACTTTGTTCTGGAGTCATTTGGCTGTTTTGAGGGTGATATGAGATAATATGCATAATGCTTTTAGCACAGTTTGGCCCACAATAAGTGGTCTAAAAGCTGTCCATTGCTTATGTATTTAACTGACTCTAAGATGTACTTTTTTTTTTTTCATATTTTTATATCTCATAATCAATGACTTCTTAGATTCCATGATACATGGTTATTACTCTCATTGATATTATCATCAATAGCAGAAGTCAACCTTGGCCATAAACTTCCAGGGATACATAGGTTCTCAGGGCAGCTGTGGTTTTCATTCAAGAGACATTATTCTTTCTCTAGGGCCTCCTGGGTCTCTCACCCATAGACCAGGGACACCAGAGGACCAGCTCAGGGTGATGCTGACAGAACAGGCCTTTTCCTTCTCACTGGCAAAGTCTCTTCAACTGGGAAAATGGCAGTCACTCTCCTCAGGACAATGGTCCGAGAGCTGAAGTAGTCACCAGCTTTTTGGGCATAAGCCAAAGCAGACCGTGCTTCTCTCCCTCCCCTACAAGTTAGCTACTGGCCTCTTCATAAGATGATGACTGACAGACTCTCCAGGTTGCCTCAGCCCCCCTCAGAACCCCTTCTGATCTCTTCTCTGGAAGACTGGGCTGGGGCTTGGAGGAAAGGGCTTGTCAGTAGTATCCAGCAGGTCAGTTACAGCTCTCAGAACTCTGGGACCTGGTACAGATGGGATGTGAGCAAAGGGTGTCCCGAGCAGGTCCTGGTGGCTTTTATGCCCCTTCAAGGTAGCTCTAGCATTGGGGGCACAGACTTGCCCCTAAGGATTATACAATTTTTAGGAGAGCCAGAGTTATGAAATAAGTAATGTTAATACAGTGAGACAAGTACTGTCAAGATCCAGGCCTGACTGGGAATAGGGTGGAAAGAAAAAGGAGGAGCCATAGTTCCGCCTTTCTGGTTCCTTCCTACTCCACTCCCACCCTGCCCAACAGCAGCAGGAAACTATTGTCAGGGTGAAAGGCCTTCCCAGAGGATCACTGTATGAGGATATTCTGGAAGGCCCTATGTTGGTTCTGGGTTTTTAATGGATATTTGTTTAATTCTAGATTGGCGGGTGTGTGTGTGTGTGTGCAAAATTTGACCTCAATTTTCCCTAAACTGCCTCCTGTTCCTAACTAATGACTTGATCCAGAAAGGTGAGAAGACACTAGGCACCTCTTAGCTTCTGTTCTGGCTACAGTTGGTGTTGACCTCAGGCTGGTCATTTAACCTCGCTAGACATTACTTTCTTCATTTGGAAAACATGTGCCTAATGCCTTCCTTACCAGGTTGTAGCAGACTCTGTGATACAGTGCTTTGTATTGTGCCTTTTAAGAACACAGTGGTTAAGCACTTGGCTGCTAACCAAAAGGTTGGCTATTTGAAACATGAGCCACACTCCACAGGAGAAAGATGTGACAGTCTGCTTATAAAGATTTACAGCATTGAAAACCCTATGGGGCAGTTCTATTATGTCCTATAGGGTCTCTGTGAACCAGAATCAACTCAGCAGCCATGGGTTTAGTTTTTTTGTTTTGTTTCGTTACCATGCCTAATGAATTGTAGGTAGTTACCTAGTATTTCAGCCTTCTACAGGACCTCAAGCTCTTACCCTCCAAGTGAAAAGAAAGAAAAATAGCCAGAATTTTACCCCTTTTTCCAGCCCACTGAGGAAGGAAGAGAAACTACCAGCAGCTTCGTAGGGGGCCTTCAATGTATTGGGAGTTTGGTGTCAGGATTTGATATTGAGAATCTGAAAAGCTGACTCAGGACCTTCCTGAGGAGGGTTTCCGTAGGAGCTGTTTCTGCCTGGTCTCCCTCCCTACCCTCTAGTGAGTAACAGAGAGGTCTGAAGAAAGGATGAGATCTCTAATCTGTGCCGCCTCCTGTTCTGACCAGAAACCGCCACTGCTGCTGTCATCATCCTAAACTTACTCACTAGACCTAAGCTGGGGACCCTTTCCTCTTGATTAAAGGGTGTGGTGGCATTGGATAGACCCAGCTCACCCACTCCTCACTTCCCCACAGACATGGCCAACCTCTCTCTCCATGACCACGACGGTTCCAGTGGCGCCTCTGACCAGGACACGCTGGCCCCTTTGCCACACCCTGGGGCTGCTCCTTGGCCCATGGCTTTCCCCTACCAGTACCCGCCGCCCCCGCACCCCTACAACCCACACCCTGGCTTCCCAGAGCTGGGATATAGCTATGGTGGGGGCAGTGCCAGTAGCCAACACAGTGAAGGTAAGTCAGGGGGGGATCATGGATGGGGTCCCCGGGCTTGCTGCAAGCTCTTGAGTGTCCCCCACTCCATTCCTGCCTGTCTTCTACAGGCAGCCGGAGCAGTGGCTCTAACCGCAGCGGTAGCGACAGGCGGAAGGAGAAGGACCCGAAGACCGGGGACTCGAAGTCAGGCGGTAGTGGCAGTGAGTCGGACCACACGACACGCAGCAGCCTGCGGGGGCCACGGGAGCGGGCACCGAGTGAGCGATCGGGCCCAGCTGCCAGTGAACACAGCCACCGCAGCCACCACTCGTTGGCTAGCAGCCTGCGCAGCCACCACACGCATCCAAGCTATGGTCCCCCCGGCGTGCCCCCACTCTATGGGCCCCCAATGCTGATGATGCCCCCACCACCTGCAGCCATGGGGCCCCCAGGGGCCCCCCCGGGCCGTGACCTGGCCTCTGTGCCTCCCGAACTGACCGCCAGCAGACAGTCCTTCCGCATGGCTATGGGAAACCCCAGTGAGTTCTTTGTGGATGTGATGTGAGCAGGGCCCCTACCCCCACCCTGGCCGCCTGCATCCCTCTCGCCATCCGTTTTTTCTTTGTTTTTTTTTTAACTTTGGTACATGAAAGGGAAATAAACAGAACTAAATCCAGGCGCGCTAACTGCTCGAGGGGCACATCGAGGGTGCAGTGCACCCACAAATTGGCTCTGCATCCCCCTAACCTGCCTCTGATCCTGGCTTGTGCCCTCTGTCCACTAACTGCTATGCAGTATTTCCCAGGATCCTTCATGACCCTGGGCTGCTGCTTCCAAGTTGACCAGTAGTGTTGGTGCTGCCCCTTATTTGCCCCCCCAACATACACACACACACACACACACACACACCCTTTAAGAGCTAACCCTAGCAGTGTCCTTGGAGGCCTGCTAAGTCCTTCATCCCCTTCTTTCCCCAGTTTCCTTTCACCATTCCTTCAGCTATATTATCCCTCTATTAGCCTCACCCCTTCAAGCATGTGTGCATATTTCCATTTTGTCCAGCAACATTGCTTCCTCTTCCCCGAAAAAAATCACTGCATCTGCCCCTTTAACTGTCCCCTTGCCTGCTGCCTCAGCCCCCTCGAGCTGCGGTCAATTCCAGGAACCAACCATGCCATCCCTGCCTGTGCCCAGCCTTGACCAGAAGCCCTGAGTTGCCTGAGCTGCTAGTGGGTTCCAGGGAGCATCTCCTCTCTACCCATCCCACCCTCATCCCTGCCATGTCTGACCTGTGTGCTGGATCCTTCAGACCCCTAACCCTACTAACCAGCAGGCTCATCTCAACTCTGGGCCTGAAACATTTCTTTTCTTTCTTTTTTCCTCCCCCAATTTTTCCTGGGCCTGGAGCAGCCAAGAATTTCGGGCTGTTTGACTTTCTGTGAGCCCCCTGCAAGGGGAGGCCCAGCCTCCGAGGAGACCAGGAGCCCTGCTTCAACAGCCCTTCAGGGTTCCCCAAGGATACCTAGCCCCCACACCTACACTTCAATATACTGAATCACTAGACTTCCTGGGAAGGTCCCAGCCTCTCACCCGTGCATGAGAGACTATATTCCCCTTTCCAGACAGTGTGTTCTCTCCCACTCCTCTACACCCTTTCCCTCCCTCTCTCTGTCACATAAACACAAACACACACACACTTATGCAAGTGCATTTTGCCTCAGGGCTGGTCCCTGCCCAGGGGGCTGGATCCCTCTCTCCTAGTCCTCTGTCAGGTTCTATCACGTAGTGGGGCTGGTCCCAACTTTCTGCTCCCCTTCTTCAGTCCTCAAGTCTTCCACACTTACCCTCATCATCTTCCTACCTGGATAAAAACCATAAGGTGGTTCTCAGGCTGGGCTCAGCAGAGAACTCCCCCGACAACAGCATAGGCCATCATCACCCCTTACCCCCTATGTACACACACACAGATACACCCTTCCCTGTTTTCACATCCACCATGACATCCCAGAGTGGGGACACAGGGCCTCACAGGCCAGTGGAGGTTGGGTGGGGGCACTTTGGAATTCCAGAGTGCCAGGCTTTTCTTTCTTTCTTTCTTTCTTTTTTTTACCTTGTTTGTCACTTTAAACAAATCATGACTCTGCTAGAAATTCTCTTGGCTCACTGAGCCATATTTGCAGGGCTGGAGTATCAAGAGTAAGATGAAGTCCTTAGTTCCAAGCTTTGGAATAAACCAGGATCTGGGGATTTTGGCATTAATTCATTTAGCAACTATTTTTTGGGGTTTTGGTAAGCAGATGAATGTGCTGGAAGTATAACTCAGTCTTGCTTACCTTTTGCTCCCAACTCAGTCCAAGGTTTCCTCTAGGCACCATGACAGGGCTGTCCCCGGTACATCTCGCCCTCTGATTCTGCCTTGTCCAACTCTCTTCAGGATTTCTCCACCGTTGCTCATGCCTTCCAAGATGGTGCCCTCTGATGTTCCTTCTTTGGCTCACTTCTCTTTCTTCTCTATAAGACTCCCAAAATGGTCTCATCCATCATCTCTCTTCAATTGCCATTGTTATGCTGGTGATTCCCAGCCCCAAATTCTCCCCTTCATCTTTAGGTCTGTATTTTTATTACTCACTGGATATCTCCACAGACATACCCATGTGGACTCAGTGCACCATCTTTCCCACCAATTTCCTCCTGAATTCCAGTCTTGGTTACTTTCATCACAATCTCACAAACTAGAAACATTGATGGGTTTTAATTCTTTCCTCCCATAGCTTACTTGTCAGCATATCATATCCATTCCACTCCAACAATTATTCTTAAATTTGGCCTTTCATCTCCCTTCTGCCTTTACTTTAGTTCATTGGAGCATGGGATTTGGAATCAGGTTGTTCTGGTTTGAATTCCAGCTCTACTACTTTCTGGTTGTGATGTTAGGAGAGTTATTTAACCTCTCTGAGCCTCAGATTCCCTTGTATGTAAAAATGATAATAATACCTACCTCACAGGGTTGTTGTGAGGATTTAAATTAGATATCGTACGAAAGGTGCCTAGCACAGTGCCTGGCACACAGTAGAGTAGGTGCTCAATAAATGGTAGCTATTATTGTAATTATTGGTACATTATTATTATTTAGTCTAAATTGACAGGAATTTGGGATATGTGTAAAATGCCCTGGTGGCACAGTGGTTAAGGCACTTGGCTGCTAATCAAAAGGGTGACAGTTTCCATAAAGATTTACAGCATTGGAAACTATGAGGGTAGTTCTGTGCTGTCCTATAGGATCACTGTGGATCAGAATCAACTCAATAGCAAGGAGTATGATATGTGTAAAAGACAAAGCTTTTTAAGAGGTGGGAGTGAAGCCTGGAATGCCAGGTCACCTGTATTCAGTCATTTAATCGCTGCAGGCTGTGACCACGGTTTGAAGAGACCTGATCCTCATTTTTCCACATTCTCGTTTCTGGCAGGAGGAAGCTAGGGACAACCAAATTTGCTCTTTCTTGCACTTCCTCCCAGGACCAGCTCAGCCCTGCCCAGGGAAGGCAGCAGGGTATGTCTGCCTACAGATGGAGAAGAGCCAGTAGAGGTTTTTCAATGTCCTGTAAGAGCCAAGGAGAACTTTCATGTTTGAAGGTTGGCTCAGTCTCCTCCTCTCAGCTTGGATATGAAGCTTAACTGTTCATCAGAGAAGGGGTTCCAAATCCCATGTCCAGTTAAATTCAACTCGCCAAACATGTTCTAAACAATGTATGTTCCTCACCCTTGAAAGCACAGAGCTCCTGGCTTTGAGGCGCTTACAGTCACATAGCTGAAGTAGAACACAAGCACATTCATGAAAAGCTTTAGCTAGTTTCTTCCAAGTATTTGTCTCCTCCCTTCGTATATTCTTGGATTTTGATACCTGGGAAAAGGTCCATGGCTGGAATACATAATATAGTAAAGTTTGTGATAATCAGGTGATGTTAGCAGTCAAATTCATCATAAGCCCTTCAGCCAGATTGTGTGTGTAAAGTAAGGACAGCCGGTCCGAGGACTCCGGAGACGGGACAGGCCTACAGCAATCCAAGACTTTATCGACAGGCTTTCACTAAACCACACTAACGCTTTGAGCGTCTCCTCCCTTTCTGTACCCCTTCTTGGGTTTTGGGTTTCATAATAAGGCAGGGGGAGCTCTGGTAGCATAGTGCCTAAGGCACTTGACTGCTAACCAGACGGCTGGCGATTCAAACCCACCAGCCACTCCTCGGAAGGAAGGTTGGGCATTCCTACTTCCGTAGTGATACTGCCTCGGAAACCCAAGGAGGGGTCGCTATGAGTCGGGCCGACTCGTTGGCAAATAACAACTAACAACAATAAGGCAGGGATTGCAGACACTACAACTCCCAGAATGCTCAGTGGGGCAAATTAGGTACAGGGAGAGGCGTTTGCTGAGATGTGTATTTAAGGAGTGGCGTGATAAGCCACGACCATCCCCGGAAGATGCAGGGCGGTTTCCCGTAGGCAGTCGGTAATTGCAGTTTTGATAAACCTAGCTGCCAGATAATTGTAAACGAGAAGGCCGGGAGGCCTGACGGGATTTGTAGTCTAAGCGGTAGACGGTGGTTGTGTAGTGAGTGCGCACGCGCAGCTGAGGCCGAGGCGGGGCCGCGGCACTGCGGTGAAAGCAGAGGCAGCGGGCTGGCGAGCAGGGGGCGGGCGGACATCTTGGGATCCGGAGAGTGGCCAGGCCGAGGGGGTGCTGCAGACACCAGGTGAGCTCGGGATCTGGCCTTACGGGGTAGGGGAGGCGCCGCGGGTCGCCTGTCCTACCGTCCAGCTTTGCTTTTCTCTGCACTGCGCTACGCGGAAAGCTGCCCACACCCGGGAGTGGCCTCAGTCTTCAGACCCGGGAGGGAGCTGACGGCAGGGCGGGGGCGCCTGGGGCGCGGTTGCCGGACTAACAGGGAGCGGTGCCCTCCACCTGACCCGCCTGGCGCCTCCTGTGAGAAGGATATCTACTAGAACCCTACCAGAACAGTGCACCGCGCGGCTCTCCTTTCCCTAGGATCCTGACAACCTCCTTGTCCCTTGGTGTCCTATCTCAAAGACAATTTCCCCCGTTTCCTAGGACAGTGACACCCCCCCTGTGCTGCCTCCTTGGATTGACTGTGACAAGCCTACCCCCATTCGCCTCGCGACGCTTTTTAGTTTATAGACATTCCACGGCTCTTCGTCCTCAGACCTGTGACAGCCCCCGCACGCCATGGCACCATCTTTTCTACAGTGGCCCCCTCCCTAGGGCGAAAAGCCCACCACCTCTTAATGCCTTTGCACCTAAAACCCCAAGACAGGCTCCATCCTCCCAGCATTCCCATATATATGCACCACTGTCAATCTCTCCCTGCTAGTTTATTCCTCTCTAAACCTTGACCTTTTCCAGTCTGGAAACTCACTCCTCTCCATGCCCCCACCAGCGTTGTTTGCTGCTGTGGACTGCTGGAATAGACTACTTGGCTGTTGTTACTGCCAATCTTATTCCTTAACTAAATATTCCATTCCTGCCCTGGGCCCCACCTCTGCTTCTCTAATGCTCAGAGCTACCTACCACTTGATACCTGTGAACTTGGTTCTTTGCTCAGGACTGTACTTCCATTTTGCATTTCTTCTCCCAGCTTCTTTGGGACTGAGGGATGGGATGTGTCCACCACACTGAGAAATCTCACTGATCCAGGAGACCTTGACTGGGTTATTTTAAATTTAAATAAAA